CCCCCCGAGAGAGCCCCCCCGCGCCCCAGTCTCCAGGATCTGACGCCACAACGGGAGAGGTTTATTTCTGTCGGGTTGTCCAATAAACAAGTGCTGATGCAAAGGGGAGCCCAGCCGTCGGTGGAGTGAGAAGGGACCCATGCCGGGAGTGGGAGGGGCGTGGAAGGAGTGCTCCCCTGGGGGGCCGGTGGGGGGGCGTCTCTTACGGAAGGCGGTGGTGTCCCTCGCAGACTCACAGCCCTTCGCCCTGCCAGAGAAAACCACGGGAGCCATCAAGGGTGCGGGACTCACACAGCCACGCGGGCCAGGCTCCATCTTGGGGGGGGGGAGATTACGTGGCCCACATGGTAACGGTACAGGAGGTCCTCGGGCCCTGACCCCGGGAGACTCAGGGGTTGGCAGGCGGGGGTGCCCGTAACTCCGACGATGGTCTGGCTCCACTCTCTGAGCTGCAGCCAATGGGGCACAGAGTCCAGAAGCACACCCCGACCCCCCAGAACTGGCTCCACCCCCGGGGTCACGTCCCCCACAATGGAGAGGGCGGACATCAGCAGTCGGCTGCCTGCAAGCTCAGCTTTGGTGTCACAGAATGTTGACAAACATCACAGGGGGAAAGTGTGAGCAATAGTATGTTGACAAACATTTCAGGGGTGGTGAAGGAAGTGAAAGGGCGAGAGAAAGGGGGGGGGGGGGGGGGGGGTAGGAGTCCCAAGGGGTTTATAGGCCAGAGGCCCAGAGGCCTTCACTCCCCCTGCCCCTGGCGGACACCCGGATCTGCTGGCTCTTTCTGGATGTGTCCCTGGCCTGAGGTCCTTCCCCAGCGGCCCTTCCTCCCCTGGGCAGACGGACTGCTGTGTCCTTCCCTCGGGGTCTCTCCCCCCCCAAGCTACCCACCCGCCGGCCCCCTTACCCCACGGTCCGCTGCTTTGCGGCAGTCCCCGCACACCGTCCCCAGGAGCCCGTTCACCACCTGGATCCCGCACAGCACCATCTCCAGGGCACCCAGCACCAGCAGAATGGAGAAGAGGACCACGTTCCAGAGGACCACGTTGGGGGGGTTCACGCACTGCTCCCACAGCGTCCGGTTGCCCAGGTAGCTCTCACTGGGTGGGGGGGGGAGGGATGCTGAGGCCACGGAGGAGCCCTGGATCAATCCCCCCCCCCGGATCAATCCCCTTCACGGAGGGAAGCTGCCTCTTGGGCAGAGGTGAGCGGGCCCCTCTGACTGGGCTGAGCCCGCCTGGGGCCTGTGGGGCTCCGTGTGGGCCCGGAGGATTAGTGGGGTTAGCTGGAGGGTGCCCTTCCGCCCCGCCGGTGTCCCCCCCTCACCTGAGGTCCTTGAAGGGCGCCTTCCACTCTCCGTCGGCCGTCTGGCACCAGGGTCCGTTGGCCAGGCCAGAGGAGGACACCGACAGGCAGTAGAGCCCCCCCAGCGCCCCGAAGGCCGAACAAAACACGGAGTGCAGCATCTGCAGTGGGGGGCAGGGAAGGGGAGGGGGTTTGCTCATGCACACTCACCCGGGGCTAGCCCACCCCTCTTGCCTGACCCCGGGGGGGGGGGGCTGAACCCCCTCTGGAGGGAGCTGGGGGG